CTTGAAATTGCTGGCCATGTTATAATCAGATTCATCAAAATTGTTGCCAGGTGTGTAGCATCTAATGTAATAGTTGTATTCAGTACCCATATTGTGTGAATGCTGTGATAATCGTCAATATTTAATACTAATGCTTTTTCTAAACATTTAGTAAGTGTCGAGTTGATGGTATTGGTATGCTCTTCAGCTATGGCTGTTTTATACTTAGTGACCATGCAAGATGTTGTAGTTATATCTAATTTAGCAAAAGTATCTATTGCAGTATCAGTAGTTCTAGTAGAATCTAGATATATAGCCAAATTTTTCTTAAAGTTGTTAATGAATTTGTTATAAACTCCACAAAGAAAATAGCAAACAAATAAAAGTTGCTTCTTTACCCATACCTCTGAATTCTCATTTTTTGATGAGGGTTAGATGACAAATACAGCTAAATAAAAAAAATCTTTAATCATATATCTTTCTCCTCCATAGTTGATCAAAATTTATCAAAAGAATAAATTGTCAGTTTTTTTTCTCTATTTTCACGAATAAACAAAATGTTTGTTAGTATTTTTATTGCCTCAAAAAAAGACAGATCATTGGTACTCTTAGCTTCATTAGTCTCACTGGTTTCAGTTAGATCTATAACATCTTGGGCATATTGAGAATCAGTTTTTTGAATATACTGAGATGTAGATAAAGTATTTGTTATAATCCAATTGTAACAATTTAAGCAAATCATATCATCTATTTAAAGAGAAGAAGATAAAGTATTGTTAGTTTGCCCTTTCATCATAATATGCTCAGTTACTTTTTTTCAACAAGTTGATGATTCTCTTTGACATATAACAATTGCACACGGTCTAGTAATAATCATTTTGTCTTTTAAGTAAAGTTTTTCAAATTTTGGATTATTTTTGAATTATTTTTAACAGTGAATAATAACAGTTATATAAAACTAGAATTGGCTTTCACAGTGAATTTTTCGTTAGTGAAATGTTGCATACTCAAAAAGTACTTTAAAGTATATAAATAATTACCCGGGCAATTGATTTACATCAACCAATTAGACGAAAGTCTGCCTATAAGTCTATGGGCAATTATGGATTTTGTCAGACATTTCGGAAATTTGCGAAAACTAGTATTACCTGAATTACAGATTCAGATTTGACGAAATATTTTGGTTTCGCCCACAACATTAGTACTAGCGATATCTAGGATTATAATCCGGATAATCCTTATCCTTAATCCGATATGTATTACGGATCTATCTGTTTAAAATTAAAGGATACGGATACTAGAAGCATAGCGGGCTTTTAATCTGATTGAATAAAAATTAAAATATTACACAGATGATCGCTATATATTAGACACTATATTAGTCAGCACCCTTAATTTCAATCCAATTGTAGGTCACGAAAACGAATTGTAGAGAGTCGTGACTAAAAAAATCATAAAATATAGCTTCTGTTTTATATATAGTTAAAATAATTTGAAAAACGGCGAGATAATTCAGAAACTAGCTAAGAAGCGTTTATTTGAAAAGATGTCTGCTCAAGATTCTTATTATGAAGATTCAACTCGCTCTACTGAAAAAAAAAGGAAAAAGAAAAAGTCGGCACTGTGATTTAAAGGATCAAGAGGGTGTCATCTGTGATAATGAACAGCATGGTGCCTCGATTGTGTCTGATCGAGTAGTAATACCAAGTTCAAGTCAACATTTGAACTTGGTCAGCAAAGCTCTATGCTGAAAACATTATAATAAGTTAATTGTAAATGCAAAAAATGCAAAAAAAACTAAAACTAACCTTGTATGTTCACACCCAAAGCATCAGATATATATTTCTACGACACAATTGGATAAGGAAACGAAGTTCTTTATCAAGACCCAGAATGATTGGTCAAATTCTTTGAGCTGCAAGGAGGTGCAATGATTTGTCACCATTGCATATATAAAACTGATCAGGATCTGGAATATGTTAATTCACCCAATTATTTGCTGCCGTCAGAAAAAATTTCAAAAGAAGATATAAGAAAATTTCAAAGTAGGTCATATGTATTAAGAAATGATGTTATTTATTCTCAATCCGAGTTTCAGAAACTGGAGTCCACATATTACGAAGTATGCGCAGAACTTGACAAAGCAAAATTAGGCAAGTAAATAATATATTTCTTTTTAACCCTTGACATAATCATTGTAGGATTTTATATTAAACAATTTTTATTTAGCATTGTGATTACAATTTTTTATTTATTATTATTTTTCTTTTTTTTTTTAGAGCTAATTCCGCTCAGTAAGAAGATTAAGCTAATGGCTGGAATATTATATATAAAGCAACGTGTTTATAATGAGAGGCCTATTTTTGATCCTGATGAATTTAAAAAAATGCTTGAGGAGGCAGAACCATTATTAAGAGGTTTTTTTGATCAATTAGTTGGCGGAACTAACCCAAAAGCAAAGAGCCATGCTACTAACAAAAAAAATAAGAAAAGGCTTGTTTCTTTTTGTTATTTTTTAGCAGGTCTCAATAATAAATTTATTAACAGGATTAAAGCAGAGGTTGGATACCTTTTAGATACATCTGGGACGTCATCATCAGCAATAGAAACTTTAGCTAATGCTGGTTTGACAGTAAGGCGTGAGACTATTGCACGGCATAAAACTCAACATGCAGAAACACAGGCGATGACAATTGGAAATTTTCTGTCAAATAATGTAAGTACAAAAAAAGATAATCTTTTTTTTTTTTTTTTAATATTATTAATCTATATTTTTTATTAGAACAGAAAATTAATTATACTTAATATCAACGACTTTCATAACATACATGAGTATCACCATAGCGATACAACTTCAACACACACAATACTTCATTTTGTTATGGTGTTGCTTAAAGCCCTACCAGATATAACCTCAATTCTGAACATTGGGGATAAATGCATTCAAAATAAAAGAGGTATTGATGCAACAATTATTATTGAAAACGCTAACTTATATTTTTTTCCCTATTTATGGCAGAGTTATACTGTACAAAGATCGATATTTGTCAATTCAATATCTATACCAGAAACACACGAGGAGTGGCTTGAACATTTTTTAATCCACAGTTATGATAGCAGAATCGAACAACGCAAAAAAAATCAAAGTATGGATAACACTAAACTTGTTGGGCTTAAACTGGGGCAACTTCGTATAGTAGAGCATTATACAAATGCTATTAAAAGCTTAATGGATATCAATGAGGTGAAATCTTATTTAGAGAATCAAATTTTGGTTGCATCCATGGATTATCCTGAACAGCTTAATGTACGACATGCCATTAACAAAAGAATTAGGCTTGAAAACTCTTCTGGTATACTGGAGCAGATTCTTCGTATTGTGCTAATGATCGGGCCTCTACATGTATCCTTGAATAGTCGTGTATCTGTATTTCTTATTAATTATGCTTTTTTTGATAAACTTTTTCATGATATTTATGGAAAGAAGAAGGTGTTGGCTAAAAAGCCAAAGCCTTACAAAATAAATCTTTTATTAGAAATAGTATTTAAAGGCTGGTCTCAAATCCGTTTAATCATTTTACAAAAGTTTGAACAGTTAAAAGATCCCGAAGCCAGATACCTGATCAACCTTCTCAATAATGATATTCCACTGGTCTTGGATTTTTACTCTGTTATATTTATAGTGGAATTGGGCGGTTTATCGAGAAGCCATGTTTCGTATCTGGTGCATTTTTTATTGATACCAGCAAAAAAACTACAACAAATTGCCACTGGCTTTTTTAAGTAATATATTTTATTAGGATAGTATTAATCATCCTATCGCATACACTTACTAATTCTCTTCATGTCTTTAATGATTATTATGTAGAAAATTTTCATAGTTCAATTAGACGTCGAGTACAACCATCTAACACAGCAGATCAAATCATTCGGGAAGCACAAATGATAGATCTGATGCGTAATAATAATACTTTTGTAGAAGCTTTCTCTGACGATCATAATATTAGATTTACAGCAAAGCAACTAGAATTTCTTGAAAAGCGATCTGCGATATTTTTACTAAATCTTTTTACTAATGTTTATAAAAAATATACTGTAGGTCAGTTGATTTCAAAAAATTCAAAATATGGATTTCCAACATAAGAGGACAATGTTGAAGTTAAAGCCTTGCCAATGGCCTGGAATACCACACATTCTTCACGAAATAATAAATATTGCGACTTGAAAGACTGTACAAAGATAGTTGAGGTAGAATTTATACTTATTTGTGGTCATGCTTATCACTTTGAATGTTTATTATTTAGATTGAACAGTCAATGCAAGTATTGTATAGACTATCTTGTAGACAGAATCGAAAAAAACTGCAAAAGTTTTGATGAAACTGTGAATTCAGAAGTAATAACGGTTGAGAGTGAATGTGAACAAAACACTACAACAAATACTACAGAAACTACTAGTAATACTAGTACAGTTGAGGTTGATAATATAATTTTAGATAGTAATATAGATCGGTTTTATAATACTGCTATTGATAATTTTAAAGCAGCATAGAACAACTTATTTATTGATAATATATTTAAAGTTTTTTACTGCTATGGTGCAGGACACTTAAAGACTGAAATCACATGATCTGTCCCATTTTCAAAAATTTTATATTGAAATTTAATGTTTTTGTGAATTCTCGCATTTTGATTGGCTAAAAATTAATTGTTAAAAATATTTTAAAATTTAATTTTAAAATAAATTTAAAATTGACCAATAGGAGTAAGCCAAAACATGTGACTTGTCCCATTTTTGACCAAATTTGTACGGATCATATGAAAATATTATATCTTTAAACTCATTAATTGAAAAACTATATAATGATTTTTTAAAAAATAAAGCCGCTAAGTTGTAGTAAATTAGTTAAACTACAAAATAGTGGCTCATTTTTTATGATATTGTTTTTCTATCAAATATTATTAGCATTTAAAGTTTGTGAAGTCTTTAAGTGTCTCGCACCATATAAATAAAAAAAAAAAATGAACGCTCAGCAAATATACCAAGAACTGCAAAAACGATTAAATAAAGATAAACTCGAACCTGAAGAAGTTTCAAGACTTTCGACCATGCAAAACTGGATTACCAAAACCACGTCAGTTATGAAACAAAAACTTTCTAAGCAAATGGTTGAGGAAGCAGAAATGAAAATTTAAAATAATTTTTCGAATGTACCTAAATCTTGAATCATGTTTTTAGGTTATAAATCTGTTTTAGACGCAAAGTAAAAGTTTTTACTACAAAGTAACTGATTTTTTTTTTTTGATAATATGGTTGCAAAAGTGATCACGCATCGTTTCACATGTTTGTATATATTCTAGTTTCTTGTTAAAAGTAACTTGCTTTTTAGCCTTTTTTGTAACTTGAATCGTTACATAGTAATTTGTCCCCAAATTTGTATAAATAATTTGTGCTGATTTTATCCAGATTAGCAATTAAAAGCTTCACAAATAAAATTAATAGGAATGTCTATAGGTTGAGTGATATGAGGATGTGATTTTAAAATAATATCAATAAGAAATTTAGGTTTTTGAAGTGCCATTATATGGAATAGAAGATTGAAGTTGTTTTTAAGAGCTAGTATATCAGTTGTTGTAGATCGAATAATTGAACCAGGATAAAAGTTTTTAAGAAAAGGTTTTAAAAAGTTTATTGTTTGAGTTGTTAGTTGGTTAAATGAAAAAAGACCATTTGATATTGGAACAGGGAAATGCTTGAACCAGTCAAGAAGTTGGTCTTGATTCATATTGAAAGATTCATTATTAGAAGACTGATAGGTAGTAGGTTGATAATGAGGAAATCGGCATTGAGATATGTTTGTTTGAAATATATTAAATAAATTTAGTAAATAAGTATTTTGGATGTTTTGTTAGTTTAGTTGGTGAATATTGAAGTATAAGGTTTAAGAATTTTAAAATATGTGTAAAATTGTTCAAGAAACAAGTTTGTTTAAGACATCAAAGAAGGTTTTCTAAATTAATTTTCAAATTATAGTATAATTTTTGTTATATAAGTTTGAAAGTTAATTTAGATTTTGTGAGACCTTTTGTTGATTTTTCTGCGAGTTCGAAAGATACAGATCTGATATTTTAAGACAATATGTATTTTGATATCAGAAATAAATTCAATTAAGAGGTCAGATAAGATTTGCTTAATAAAAATTTAGGATATTGTTAATTTTTATTAGACAACTTATAGGCATTAAGAAAAAATTTGTAACTTTTTATTGATTTTCTTGGTGAGTTTGAATAGTATAGGTCTAATATTTTGATATTATGTATGTTTTTGTCTTAAGAACAAATTTTAATTAAGGGTCTAGTGAGGTTTACTTAGTACGATTTTGAAATATAGTTGATTTTTGTTAAGTAATATATAAATCAGTAAAATTTTAAATAACCAGTAAGTTTTCTAGAGATGTCCAGTAAGTTTTCCAAATTTAGTGAGCGAAATTTTGAGATTTGTTGGGTCTTTGGAAATTTTAATGGGTGAAAAAAAGTGAGTTTTCCAGGGCAAGCCAGTAAATTTTCAGAAAAATTGCTAATGAATTTTTAAAATAAAAGATCATTTTTAACAAGAGAATTTAAAGTCTTTTTTGATGTAAAATTGTCAATTTTAATATGTTTGTAATAAATTATATATCAAAATGCTCATCTTGGTGAGTAGAACAAATATGTCTTAAGTAAGAACTAAGATTTGCATAATAAAATTTTGAGTAAATGGTAAAAGAAGAGTTAAAGAAGTTTTAGTTATAGTTGAGTGAGTTTTAGTTTATTTGTAGTATATTTTATATCAAAATATTCGTATGAAGAAGCTAAATAAGTTTGTATTAAGAAGGATGTGGTAACTTAGTATAGTTAGTAAGTTGTCGCATCCCCAAGCAGCAGTACAAGAGTTCGAATCCTACTGGCAATGAAATTCAAATTTGCGGAAATGCATTACAATAAAATTGTATATCGATTGGGTAAATACCTGTAACTTTGGTCTTTACCAACTTACATTGGGAGGTTGTAGAATATAGTATGATATATGAGTTACACAAAACCTAAGTGAAGCAGCCAAATAAATCTAAGGGATCGGAGGATACGAAAGCTTGCTTGGGAAGTTCCGAGTAGAGAGATAATACAAATCTTCGACAGTGCTACGTAAAGAATTATCATCTAAGGAACCAGACACCAAAAGCAAACTGAATGAAGACTGAGTGTTTGGCAAGCACTATATCAACTAGGCCACTAGACAACCAGAAGAAAAAGGATTTATACGGAATACCAAAAGACACCCACTAGTCCCTCCCAGGCTATCTGAATTAGAAGTTTGGAGCACCGATGGTTGGCATTGAAGTACTGTTGATAGTCTATAAAGTGGTTGCTGGGGTTTGGGTAAACTTTGCAAGGGCAAGGAGTAGGTAATAGTAGTAAAGGTAAAAAGCCGCAAGTACTTGGCCATAGCCTGGGCATAAATTATCAAAAATCTAGGTAATATATGTGTGAAACATGAACTGCTTTGGTAGGTTTACTACGAGGATAAAGGACCCTCTATATAATAGTATGTGTCTGCTTTAAAGTCCTAAGGGGCCTTCTCAGCAATCCCTCTTTGAGGAAAATATCTGATAGCACTAAGTTAATCAGAAGGTTTAAATAGATAATCCCTTTAGCTGGGTTATAGATATGGTAGCTAGTGTAGTTCATATGGTTATATATGCAAGACTGCTTAAATAGACAACTAAAAGTAGCATATATGGCTAGTTGTATCCTCGTTAATGTAACAAAGTCAGGGGTAGCCCATGTAGGTTGCCCTGACATTCGAATCAAAGTTCAATAAAACATGCCAGACCCCAAAGTGGTCACCTTAATATTAAAAAAAAAAAAAAAGTTTGTATTAAGGAATATAAATAGTTTTCTTAATATAATTCAAAAAAACTTTAAGTTTGTAGATTTTTGATGAGTTTGTAAACTAAAGTTATAAAACTTTAGTAATATATATAAAGTGAATAGCTAGACAAGTTTACTTAGAGCATCAAAGTAAGTTTTCTTAATAATTTAAGAAGTTGTAATCATTTCTGTCTTGTTATTTTTTAGATTTGGTTTGGTATTAATATTGATGGCCCATGCTGCTCTTTATTTGAATATTAGTAGTATTTTTAATCATTAGAACATTCTGATAGCTATATATATTTGTAAAGTACAACTAGCTATACCTGCGCTTTTTGAGCACCTATTTAAGTAGTCTGCCTATTACTAGGTTCTATACTAGATGCCGTACCTGCACCCCACTAGGGGGTTACCTATTTAAACTCTCTGCACCTATGTATTAACCCTTTATATCTAAGCAATAATACTTAGTATCACCTTATTTTCATATACTGGCTTAGGGCTTTAAAGTGATCTCTACTATTTTAAGGAGTCTTTTGACCTTGAGGTAAACCTATTAGAGCCTTCTATACCCATATTTAGGCTGATCTAAACTTCGATAACTTACACTTAGTCTGAGAACAAGTACTTGCAAGCTAAAACTACTATCATTACTTACTTCTGCCCTTATATAGTTTACTTATATCCCAGCTTTGATACTTATCTAATTAGAAACTCTTCTACTGTTTTACCAAACTTCTAATCTAGATAGCCCAGTTTGGTTCACAAGTTATATTACTTGCTTTCTTACTTGCTTAACCCAGATACCAATCTGTGCCTTTTTTCTTTAGTTGATTCTGACAGCCTGGTTGGTATAGTGCTCGCCAAACATCTAATCCTTGTTCAGATCTACAGCTTATTAGTTCTCTTTTTAAACTTTTCAAAACTGTCAAAAGTATGTTACTTCTCTACTTGGAACTTGCTAAGCAGGTTCCTATTTAGGACTAGTCTACTGAATTTATATAGATCACAAGAATTTATTGTAGATTTACATTACCTTTTATTAGTTTGTATCTCTTTGTATAACTTCTCTATTACACAAATGCTCTATAGTTATCCAAGTCTATACTACTGCTTCTAATAGAGCTTGCGAGATAAGCCATCTGTTAAGCAATCATTACTTCTTGCACCTATTTAGTTTGATCATTATTACAGCATCTACATCCCAACACTCGAATAGTTACTATTATATAGAAGAATTTGATTTTTCATTATTAGTAGAAATTGAACTCTGGATGTACCACTTAGAAGGCGACAACTTGACCACTTCACTAAGTCACTGCACCCCTTATAATAATATTTAATATAATTAATAAATATATAATTATAAGGGTGTGGCGACTTAATGAAGTGATCAAGTTGTCAGTTTCCAAGCAATACATCTAGAGTTCAAATCCCATCACAACAAAAAAATTTAAATTCTACTTGTGTTATGGCTACGATCTTCTCGGTTAGGGCTATGCTATATAATGTCTATCAAAGTTGGGACTCAGTCCTATAACCTGGTATCCACCAATCTAAAAAGTGGGAGAACCTACATAGCGTTCATATAACGCATAAGTTATATGAAGAAATGCAAGCTGATTAAGTACAGTATAAACCCAAGATAAATCTTGTAACCACATAAATCCTGGAAACTTAGGCAAGATAGACACTTGTTTGGCAAGACCCAAGTGAAGAGATAGCATATCCTTAAGTATATAGGTGAACTCCATAAGGGCAGGATAATTTAGAAGCAGTGTAATCTGCCTGTAAAGGTATAGAATTTATCCGATAAAGAATTCTCCTGTAGTTCCTTAATTGAAATCCGAAGAAAACTAGG